GCACTATAAACTGCTGAATGCTAAAATGAAAATAGTCATGAGACAGCTGAATAGTACCCTTTAGTCATTTTGAGGTGTATAGCAGCCGGTTCTGTGTATAACCTAAAATTGAAATGTCAATGAAGTAGTCACAGGATGTGGTTAAGAACTTGCATTTTTTAACATATTGGTTACTCAATACCATGTCAATTCCATAATGTTGTAAATTGTTGTTGATGTTATGTTTGGCTTTTAATTGATCAGGATTATATTCTGACAGCTCTGCTTTCAGATCAGAGATGGTCTCCCCAAGAAACTGTTGAATTTATCTGGATAATAAGATGCTGGACTCTATGCTTGCAATGAAAGAACCTTGACTGAATTTGAACTGTAAGGCGACAAGGTGGAGGAATCCACCATGGGGGGAGGGTACGGGGAGGGGTTGGGGGAATCCCAGAGCATATGAGACATTGTCACATAATGCAATGTAAGCAAATTAAAAAAAAAGAAAAAGAAAAAGAAAAAGAAAACCTCGAAGGAAGTGGCGTGGCCCAGCGCAGTAGCCCTGTGGCTAAAGCCCTTGCCTTGCACGCACTGGGATCCCATGTGGGTGCCGGTTCTAATCCCAGCAGCCCCACTTTCCATCCAGCTCCCTGCTTGTGGCCTGGTGTCGCTGTCCTGCAGTGATGGACTTGGTACACACATGGACTATTGACTGATGATCAATAGCCAAAGTGTATTAGTGGCATCAGACTTTATACACTGAGGGTCCTATGGGATAAGGGTGGAGGTATTGAGCTCATCAACAAACCCATCAACTGTTTCTATGCTTTTGTTTGGACGTCCTTCTGTCTTGTATATTCCACCAAGTGCTCTCACACACACACTGTCCACTCAACCGTTCTTATACTAACCTAGAGAAGCTCCGGGCTCCTAGCTTAAGATTGGCTCAGCTAAGCGCATTAAGGACAACTGGAGAGGGAACCAGCAAACTGAAGACCTTTCTGTTTCTCCTCTCTATGGATCTGCCTTTCCAATAAAAATAGACAAATAAAAAAAAATAGATAGAAAAGGGAAAAAAAGAAAAGAAAAAAAAAAAAAGAACTTTACAGGGAAGACTGAGACACTAACCCTACCCTTAACCCTAACCTAACCCTACCCTAACTAACCCGGACCGGCCCTCAGTCCCTTGGACACCCCAATCACAGGTCGGACTTCCCCTCCCCCACCAGGTGAAGGAGATGGCGCTGGGGTGTGAGCAGCTAGCCATAGCACCCCAGAACATCTGATTTAGTCCCTGTGAAGTTCTAGGTCGGAGCCACCAAATTCATAGTGACAGGAAGTAGACTGGAGGCTCCCAAGGTGCCATGGGGAGGGGAGATGGCAGGAGGCTTAGGGGTGGTTGGGGTGTACCTTCTGGTACAGGGTTCCACTGGTGGAGTGGAAGTGTCTGTTTCCCGACAGTGGGCACACCTCCAATGCCACAGAACCGTGCACTCAGGAAAAAAAGAAAATGGATGATGCTAAAGAATCCCCCCAAGAAAGGACTTGTTTGCCACTGATGGCCAAGGCCAGGGGCTGAGCCTGGCATGGTTGGCGGGTGACCAGCAGTACTTGGTGGATATCACCCCATACTTACGCTGAATGCTGGAGGTTGCGGAAGTGCTGCCCATGGGAGTTACGGAAGCTGCCCAAGGTTCTCACATGAGTCAATACAGTCACCCTGGGCCTCCTGCGTGGGGGAGAGCCCTTCGGTGCTCCCTCCCTTGGAGTGTGGGTGTGATGAAACAACAAGGCCTCTGGGGGTCCTTCTACCCGCTCCTCTTGGGGTCCTTTGTGATTGGAGAGGATGGAAGGCTGGGTGCTCCACAAAGGAGAAGTCAAACACACAACACCAACACTGGGCACCAGGGCAGGTGGGCAGTGAGGCCATAGCTGCAGACAGGGCCTCAGGCTGCCTCGCCCCTCCACCACCAGGCACCGGGGCTGGGCTCAGCACAATGGCTTCCTGGGTTTCCAGAACAATCTAGGACACAAGTGCCATTTGTCCCTCTGCCGCATCCCTTCATATTTTCATTTGTTCTTAGGGTTTCATGTCTGCCCTCCCCAGCCCAGACAGAGCATAGCCCAGAGTAGGTGATCAGAAAACATGAATCTGGGGACTGACACTGTGGTGTGGCAGGAAAAGCTGCCGCCTGCAGCACCGGTATCCCTTGTGGGAACTGCTGGCTCAAGTCCCGTCTGTTCCACTTTCCATCCAGCTCTCTGCTAGTGGTCTGGAAAATAAATGGCAGATGGTACAAGTGTTTGGGGCCCTGAACCCATGTGGGAGACCCGGAAGAAGCTTCTGGCTTTGGCCCAACCCAGCTCCATCCCACTGCGACAATTTGGGGAGTGAACCAGTACATGAAAGAATCTTTATATATAACTCTGCTTTTCAAGTAAACAAAAATAAATCTTTTTAGATTAAATTTAAAAATTTTTATTGGAAGGGCATATCAGATTTGTATAGGGAGAAGAGAGACAGAGACTAAGTTCTTTCACCCGCTGATTCACTCCCCAAGTAGCTGCAATGGCCTGAGCTGAGCTGATCTGAAGCCAGGAGCCAAGAGCTTCTTCCATGTCTCCCATGTGCATGCAGGGTCCCAAAGGCTTTGGGCTGTCCTCAACTGCCCTCCCAGGCCACAAGCAGGGGGCTGGATGGGAAGTGGAGCAACTAGGACATGAATTGGCACTCGTATGGGATTCCAGCAGATGCAAGGGGAGGATTTAGCCACTAGGTTAGCGCGCCAGGCCCTGCTCCTCTCTTTTAATCGACTTTGTCTTCACCCTGAATCTCCAATACTCATCACCCCGTCCGCCCCAGAACTATTGTCCCCCTACCTTACCCTGTCTGCTTCCAGGGTCGGTCTATGCACGTGAGCATGCCAGGCTGGGCAAGGCTGCTCCACTTGTCAGCAAGTATGTAGGTTGGTTTTGGATGGGGCAGGGTGGACTGAACAGAGCCAGGCTAAACCTCAGGACCCAGTAAGGAGTGTGTTAGACTGCCACACCTACCGGTTTGCATGAAACCCAGGGATGGGGCCGACTGGGCAGGACTAGGTTGCAGCTCCCACCATTGAGAGTTGGGACTGGAGGTGAGTGGGGTCAGGCCAAGCCACAGCATCCGATGACAAGGGCCAAGATGGGGGATGGGCTATACCATGCTGGGTCAGAGCAACCACTGGCATGTGCAAGACCTGTGGCTGCGAATAGGCCTGGTTGGGGAGCTAAGGGGATGCCCTGGCTGAGTTGTGGTTCCCACTGTTGGGCGTAAGAGCTGGAATGGGAGCAGTAAACTGGGCTAGACATGACTGCAGTATACCTCAGCATGGGTGTGGACTGGGTCTGGGGTGTGCCCCACTGTGCCAGGCTCCAGCACCCATTGGTGTTTGTGAAAGCCAAGGTTAAGTGTAGGATGATCCGGGCTAGGTCTCAAAACCCATTAAACCACATAAGAGCTGTGTCTGGGGTGGGCCAGGCATGGCTGAGCTATAGCACCCAACAGTAAGAGCTGGGAAGAGCATGGACCAGTTGTGTAGTCACTGTACTTGCAAGGAAAGGAGGTAGGCCAAGTCAGGCTGGACCAAGCAGCCACCAGCGTGCATGAGCTCTGCCACAGGGAGGTGACCTGACAGAGGGGATTGGGGATCTTCTGTGTCAGGACGCACAAGAACCAATCGGAGAGTAGCCCAGACCAGGCCAGGTTGCAGTACCTGCCAGCACACATGTGGCTCAGGTCTGGGGGCAGCCAGGCCGGGCTAGTTCATAGCACCTACTAACAGATGTGAGAACCAGAATGAGGTGCAGGACAGGCCAAGTTGGACCGCAACACCAGCCAGTTCACATTAGGGTCAGGTCTGGGGGCAGTCCAAGCTGGGTTAGGCTGCAGCACCTGCTAGCACGAGTTGGAACTGGGGCAGGCCAGGCCAGACCAGGCTGTAGTAGCTGTTGGCAAATGCTGTGAGGCAGGACATGCCAGACTGGGGCAGTGAAGGGATTTACCTGGTGAACATGTGAACTAGAACTGGGAGCAGACCAGGCTGGGCAAGGCTACAACACCTGTTGATCTTCCTGTGAATTAGTTTAGTGGGAGAGCTAGGCTGGGCTAACCGACTGTATCCATTGGTGCGTGCATGAGCCAGAGTAAGTTCAGGTTGGTTGGGCTTCACTGCACTATCAGCTGATAAGTGCTAGGAATGGGGGCAAGTCCTGTCAAGCTAAACTGCGGAACTACCTGGAAAGTGCAAGATCTGGGGCTGGGAGTGGGTCTAGTAGGGAAACTGTGGGCACCCCTATGATGGGCTGCAGCTCTCACCGGTGAGCACCAGAACCAGGGCTTTGGGTGGATTGACTGGACAGGCAGGAGCGCCCGCCAGCGTAAGTGTGGGCTGGATTGTAGGACATTCGGCTGAGCTAAGCTGCAGCACCTATTGGAGTGTACAAAAGCTAAATGGGACGTGGGACAGACCATTGTGTGCAGGAACCAGGGCTAGGGATGGGCGTCACAGACTGAACTGCAGTTCCCACTGGTATGTGTAAGGGCCACAGGTGTGGTGGATAAGGTTGGGCTGAGCCGCACAACCACTAGTTTGTACAAGAGATGGGGCTGGAGCAGGGTTGGGGGCTGGGTTGGCAGAACCAGTAAAGTTGCTGTGTGGGACGCAGGTTCTAATCCCGGCTGCTCCACAGCAGGTGGGTCCCAAGCACAGTGTCCCCAGCACCCACAGGCAGATGCTGCCCCCATCCTACTCAGAAGCTGCCGTCCAGACCCGCACTCACCTCCTCTTAAGGTCCTGCCTAGTCCTTCTCCGCAGCCCAGGGCCACACAGAACCATGATCTGCACTGGCACACCGTGGCCCTCCACGCCCCCAGCTGAACCTCAGCCACTTACTGCCCCGGCCACAGCTGGAGGGAGAGGCAGGCGTGTGGACCGGAGGGTAGAGGCCTGCGCACACACAAACACTCCCTTTTATCATCACTTTTTAAATTTTTTTTTTTAATAAATTTAAGAACAACTCCACCTTTTCTCTGTCCCCCCAAAAGCAACTAAAACCAACTAAAAGGAGTATGGCCCGGGGGCGAAGGGCGCTAGGAGTCGTAGTCCTCTTCATCCTCCATGTCTGGCGCAGACGGACCTGGGGGCACCGGCGGCGTGGGGGGCAGAGGCAGAGTAGGGGCGAAGGGCAGGAAAGGGGCGGAAGGGCTGTGGGAGGAGCAGAGGGGACATGAGGCTGGGCCCGCCCCCGCCCCACCCCACCCCCTGCCTGCATGTGTGCCAATGGGAGCCGAGGCCCGGGCAAGGGGCAGGCCCCGAGCTGATCACACTGCCGCCCGGCCCCGCCCACCGCTCCTGGTCAGGGTGTGGGGACAAGGCTTGCAGACGAGGGCCAGGCGTCTAGGAACCCCCTGCTCACCCCTTGGCTCCCTTCCTCCACGCCTGCCCCAAGTAGCAAGACCAAGTGACCACAAGGGACTGGAGAGAAACTACGGGGTCCCTGAAGAGGGGCTCACCTCTGAAAGTGGACAGGGGGGTGGCTGGTCTGGGGAGGCGGCATGGGTGTCTCCTCGTCCCCGTCCGTGTCTGTGTCCTCAGACTCGCCCTGGGAGGGGAGACGGCAAAGGCCAGGGCCCATCGTTGGGGGCTGAACCGGCTCCCCGTCATGCCCACCAGGCCACCCGGAGAGCAGGAGCCCAGGCCGCGCAGGGCCTCACTCACCTCCTGCTCGGAGTCGGTGCCTGACAGCTTCTTGTCCTTGGCCTTGCTTCCCATGCCACCGTTCTTGCGGCCGCCGCTGCCTGGCTTCCGACCCCTGTGGGAAGACCCGGCATGTCTGCCCCACAGGCTCCCTGGCTCCTGAGCCGGGACCACCACCCCTCCACTCACCCGCCACCCCCAGCACCAAGCCCTGCGGGGCCAGCCCCACCTTCGCGGCGCCTTGTCGCCGTCCATGTGGTTGTCCTCCGCATCTCCCTGCATGTCGGGGACAGAGGCCACCAGGTCCTTTAGGAAATCAAACTGTTGCTCCAGTTCAATGCACTGCTTCCTGTGAGAGCCGGGCGGAGTGGGGGGCGACGCTGGGGTGTGGGCTCCCGCACGGGGCAGCCCCTCTCCCCTTGCCCAGCCAGGTGCTGGGGGCCTGGCTCCCTGGGGTCTCCCCGCCCCTACAAAGTGCCCCAGCGGCGGCTTACAGGTGGGACGTGGTCATGGTCTTGGCATTTCGCGACTGTGTCACCTGGCAGGCCTTCCTCAAGAGGGATTCCAGGAAGAGTTCGAGGGCCCGGGCTTGGGGTGGAGGGTCGTTAAGGAGAACGTGGTGGGGACCCCCCTGAGCTGCACCCCCCCACACACACCCTTTCCGGCAGGATACAGATGATGACAGGCACGGCGGCCGCCACCTTCCCGATCTCTTCGTCCGTTTGCATGATCTTCTTGATGCGCGCCTGCGGAGGGGGACCGCAGGGTGGGGGCGGGGACGGGGATCCCGGGAAGCAGGGGGCGGGGACCGCGGAGCGAGGGGCGCGCGGAAGGGGCGGGACGCCGGGCTCCCCGGAACGCCACCCCACACCCCACACCCCGTCGGCGCTGCGGGCTCGGTGCGGGGAGGCCCGGAGCCTCCGCCGGGGCTCCCGGGCTGGCTCGCTGCGGCCGGGGCTTCCTCCCTCCCCCGCCACGTGCTCACCGGCGGAAACCGCGCGTTGTACTTCTTCTTCTTGCTCGGCATCTCCGGGCCTCGCTCCGCCGCGCCGGGCCCTGCGCCGCCCGCAGCCTCCCCGGGGCCCCGGGCCTGCTCCGCCGCCGGCCCGCCGCGGGTTCCCCCCCGGGTCCTGCCGCCTGCCGCCCGCCCCGCCGCCGCCGCCGCCGCCGCCGGGTCCTAGCGCCGCCCGCAGCGGACCGCCTGGCAGGCCGTGCGCCGCCGCGGTCCCCGGACGCGGTCGTCCCTCCTCCCGCCACTCCCTCCCGCCCCCCGGGCCAGAAGAGCGAACGTTAGCTCCGCCCCGTTCTGCCCAGGGCCCGCCCCTTTCCCACCGGCCACGCCCCCATCCCAGGCGTCGGTCACGCCCCCGCGGCGGCGTTTGTCTATAAAGTTGTTGTTGAGACGGCGCGGCGCTAAGATGGCGGCGGCGGCTGCCGTGGCGGGGGCGGGGCGCGGCGGCGGCGGCGGCGCGGAACCCCGGCCAGAGCGGACCCGGGCCCGGGGCTGGGTCGGCGCGGAACGCAGCGAAGGCCGGAGGTGACTGCGGGGCAGGGCTGGAACGGGAGGACCGGGGACCCAAGTGGGGCTATGGGTGCTAATGGCGGCGGGCGCGGTGGGGCCTGATCCAGCAGGCCCTCCCTTCCGCATGCTGACAGACCAGGGTTCGAGTCCCAGCCCCGGCCCATCAGTGTCCGACCAGTCGCTTACCATCGCGGGCGGGGGTGGGAGGACTCAAGGTCCTCGTCGTTAAGTGCACCTGGTAATTCCCCGTAAGGAGGCTGGCCGTCCATAGGGCGGTGGGGGGGTCGGGAAAGGGTTGCCGAGCGAATCTGCTTTCCTCCATGAGCAGCCCACCCTAGGAATAGCTACCTGCCTGGCCCTCCAAGGGCCTGAGTAGCGGAGGCCGGGGCTCCCACACGGGCCCTGCCACTTACTGCAAATGCGGTCTTGGGCAAGACCCTCCCCATCCCGCAAAGCGTCACTCCTTCTCCCGCGTGAGCCTGGGGGAGCCACAACACCCCTGGCAATGGCGCTTAGCCAGGTGCGTCCCATGAAGGGCATTTAACTCTCCCGATTCATCCACACCAGCCTGGAACACTTGCTGGCCCATGGTCCGGATGAGGCCTGAGGCAGGCAGCGTAGGCAGTGCCCAGAGCCCGGTTGTCCTGGTCTCAAAACTGCTCACACAGGGTTCCCTCCCAGCAGGATGGAAGCAGGGGAGGAGCCGGAGGAGGACGACTCTCCTGGTGGCCGTGAAGATGGCTTCACTGCGGAGCACCTGGCTGCGGAGGCCATGGCGGCTGACATGGACCCCTGGCTGGTGTTCGATGCCCGCACCACGACTGCTGCTGAGCTTGAAGCCTGGCTGGCCAAGTACCCACCGTCCCAAGTTACCCGCTATGGGGACCCTGGTTCACCCAATCCCGAGCCCGTGGGCTGGATCGCAGCCTACGGGCAGGGTTACAACCCCAACTCGGGCGACGTGCAAGGGCTGCAGGCAGCCTGGGAGGCGCTGCAGACCAGCGGCCGACCTGTCACACCAGAAACCCTGCGCCAGCTCGCCATCACCCACCGCGTGCTCTCTGGCAAGTGGTTGATGCACCTGACACCTGGCTTCAAGCTGGACCATGCCTGGGCTGGCATCGCCCGGGCTGTGGTGGAGGGCCAGCTCCAGGTGGCCAAGGTGAGTCCTCGTGCCAAGGAGGGCGGGCGCCAGGTCATCTGTGTCTACACGGACGACTTCACGGACCGCTTGGGTGTCTTGGCAGCGGATGCCGCTATCCGAGCGGCGGGCATCAAGTGCCTGCTCACTTACAAGCCTGACGTCTACACCTACCTGGGCATCTACCGGGCCAACCGCTGGCACCTCTGCCCCACTCTCTACGAGAGCCGTTTCCAGCTGGGAGGCGGTACCCGTGGCTCCCGCGTGCTGGACCGGGTCAACAATGTGGAACTGACCTAGTAAGAGGGAAACCTCCCTCTGGTCTCCCCTGCTGGAGGCTGGATCCTTTTATCTTCCTCCTTGTCCCAAGGTCAAGGTCCCCCACAAACTGCCTGCGTCTTCCAAACCCTTGAACTTGGGCCCTGTGTTTAGGGCTGGCTCGAGCTTCCACATGTTCTGGCTCCCAACGGGCCCGGTGCCCAGCCACCCTTTCAGTGCTCCCCCCCTGCAGACCAGGGCCAGACATTGGGTACAGACACCGTGGGAGAAAGCCCACCTTGGCCACCTTCGCCAGACCACCCCTTCCGCCTACCCCTGCCTTCCTCCCTCTCAAGGGGAAAACAGTGCTTCCAAGCCCTCACTACGGGGCCTTCGGGGTCCAGGGAGAAGGGCCCCGCAGCCCAAGCATGCCACTTTGCCAGGAGGGTAGTTGTACCCACTCATCCCCCAACAGAGAGAGGGGATGCCAGGGCCACGGACATGGTTCTGCCCCTCGCCACCCACACAGCCTGCTCCACCCTCCTCTGCTCCCAGCTCCCCTGACATGTGCCTGTTCCTGGCAAGCTCAATAAAAGTCAACTTGGGTCTGTGTCCTTGTGTCTTTCAAAACACTGGCTGCGAGGCAGGGTCAGCAGAGTGCCCTGGCCCAGCTGGGCACCCCTATGTCACCAGTGACTCCTGGAGCCCTGCCCATCACAGAGTCCAGCGGGCAGTGTGCAGAGCGCTTGGGGTGCATCGTTGAATCCTCACCCCACTGCAGTCAACAAAATAGAGGTCAAGTAGGGAAAGTTTTCTGAGGGTCACGTGCTGAGCTGGGCGGGGCTGGGACAACTGTCACCAGAGCCAAGGCCCTGTTGTCACCCGTGAAGTTGGCGCCTTGGCCAAGTACATGTGCTCACGTGGTCTAGCTGGGAGCCCCCTGGGATGCTGCTCTCCCGCGTGCCAGAGCTGACTCAGCCCCCAGCAGCCTCAGCAAGCTGGAATTTGGAGCGGAGATGCCACAGGGCTGACTGGGTGGAAGTGGCTGAGTCATGAGATGCTGGCTCATCCCCGCCCCCCCCCCCCAGCTTCCTCCCCACCCTGAGTATCCCCAGTGTTAAGTCCTCCCAACCCAGAGGTGGGATGTCTCTGGAACCAGTAGTCTCAATTGGGGCTTGGCACCCTACCACCCTCAGGCCCTGACACTCAACATGTGGAACTGCCTATGTTACCTAACACGGCTACAGAAATGAGTCTATCCACCTAGGGCCAGTCATAGCCCAGATGGGAGCTACCTCTAGGCACCTCTTTGTGCCTGTGCTGCTGCATGGATGCCAGCTGGCACCTGCTTCAGCCCCTGGCACACAGCCCTGGGCCTTGGGCTTGCTCATGCTTGAACACCTGCCACACGCTGCTACTCGGAGGATTGTGGGCTCAGTTGAGGCCTGCTTTCTGCCAGCCGTTTAGCCACATGTCCAGACCATGTGCCCTATGAGGACAGAAGCAGTGTGTAAGGTAGTCCTGTGCCCAGGGCCTAGCTCCATGTGTGGCCAGAGCCAGCTCTAAAGCCCATTCAGTGAACGAAGGAAGCCCTCCTGTGCACTTGCTCACCCTCCTTGTTCCAGAAATGCACGCTGCACATTTCCCTGCGCACATCCTGCCCTTTGTCACTTCTGTGTCTCGGTTCTTCCTGTGGCCCCTACTTAGCATGGCCTACCTTCCTAGCTGACTTGCCATCCCAGTGTCCATAGCTTGGGTGTCACCCTCCCTCACATTCCTCCCCACCTGAGCTCACCCACCGGCTCTCACCTCTGTCCTGGGGACCTCTTGAGGATGGCTTAGCTCCGGAATCTGGGTCATTCTCATCACCCAGCAGAAGACCCAGTACACTGCAGGTGCCAAAGACACATTCTTTCTTATTTAAAAATGTAGCTATTTGAAAGGCAGCATTATAGAGATGCAGAGGTAGAGATTTTAAAAAGTTTTTAAAAAGGCGGATATACAGAGAGAAGAGAAAGAGAGGAAGATCTTCTGTCTATTAATTCACTCCCCAAGTGGCTGCAACGGCCAGAGCTATGCTGATCTGAAGCCAGGAACCAGGAGCTTTTTCTGGGTCTCCCACATGGATGCAGGTCCCAAGGCTTTGGGCTGTCCTCAACTGCTTTCCCAGGCCACACGCAGGGAGTTGGGAACTAAGGCAGCCGTATGAGATTCTGGTGCATGCAAGGTGAGGATTTAGCCACTATTGCACCAGGGAGCTGGGAGCAGGGCCGGGAAGGTGTGGTGCTTGAACTTAGTCTTCCAGCCACATGGTGGCTGGAAGGCCCCGGGATAAGCAGCGTCTCATGCCTGGAACGCACGCGGCCGCTACCATGGGCGCGTCCGGAGCCAGTATCGGGCGCTCTGGGATTTGGTTTTTATGATTGCTGCTTAGAAAGCTCCATGATGAATTCTCAGGGCTTTTGGTGCATGAATCAACCCTAAAGATTCCCAATGAGGGTAAATCTCCCCCGATGGACCTAATATGGTCTCAACCCATGTGGTTTTTTGTTTGTTTGTTTGTTTGTTTTTGTTTTTTTAAAAGATTTATTTTATTTTTATTGGAAAGGCGGACATACAGAGAGGAGAGACAAAGAGGAAGATCTTCTGTCTGATGGTTCACTCCCCAAGTGAGTGCAATGGCCGATGCTATGCCGATCCAAAGCCAGGAGCCTCTTCCGGGTCTCCCGTGTGGGTGCAGGTTCCCAAAGCTTTGGGCCGTCCTCGACTGCTTTCCCAGGCCACAAGCAGCGAGCTGGATGGGAAGAGGGGCTGCCGGGATTAGAACCGGCGCCCATATGGGATCCTGGGCGTGCAAGGCGAGGACCTTAACCACTGCGCCATCGCGCCGGGCCCAACCCATGTGTTTTTAAAATTGCATAACCAAATGTACTTTCCATACCTTTTACTACTCAGAAATTGGGCGGGAGAGCAAAGAAACCTTCCATCTCCTGTGAACGTGTGAGGAAGCCGTGTAGTGTAACCTCTCAGACACATAACAGGTAACTTGTAGACAGTAGATTCAAGACAACATTAGACAACAGTAAAACTACAAAGACATACAAGGGGAATCAAGAGCGACCCTGACAACCTATTAACAGGAGGTCATGTGCACAGAGCAGTGAGGGGACCACAGAGTGGAGCAGATGGACAGGAGGAGGCTTGTATCCCAACCCTGGAGACTCCAGGATCCCCACCAATGACTATCAGCACGGGCGCCAAGGACCACATCCCAACTGCCAAAGAGACCACGGGGGACTGGAATGCCTTCGGAGGCTGAGAACTCAGAGGACATCCCCCCCTCTTTGAACCTACCACATGGGATAGAAGAAGCTGAATTCTTCATCATAGGTTCCAAGGCCATCGGAACAACAGCCAGGGAACCTGAGCGGTCTTCAGAAACAGAACAGTAAACTCCCTTCAGGACTAGGGAGAGGAGCTATCTCTGGTTCTTACTTAGCTCCAACTTCGGGTCCCCAATCTCTCTGCAATGACCATGAGGGACACTCCAGAGACCCCCCCCCAACACACACACACACACACTCACACACATATGCACACTCACAAATTGGAATGGATAGGCAGAAAACAAGGAAGGCTTGGTCAGCATGGACTCACACACACCTTACTAGGTAGGACACAGGGATTAAGTACTCCTCGCCAGGTATGGAAGATTTCTCTGCACACCCCTCCTATAACTGTTTCGCACCTCAATTGTTGAATTGTCATGGAAATAGTCACAGAAAGTTGTTAAGGCCTTGCATCCAATTTTGACATATCAGTTGTTCAATACTGTGTCAATTTATCCCTTAATGTTATATATTGTTGCTGATGTTATGTTGGGGTGTTGCCAGCCGCATCTGTATGTACTGGCCACATGCCGTACCCAAAATGGCGCCGGCCGGAGAGGCTACATCTTGGTGCCTGGCGGAGAGTCACGTAGCCTTCGCAGTACTGCGCAGGCGCCTAGCGCATGCGCAGTGAGCTGCGGCGTGGCCGGCACGTGAACACTGGGGACTGACGAATCCGATCGCCCAGGACCCTGCGTGATCATGACGCCGACCTATCATCGGCGGAGGCGGAGCCAGTCAACACATAAGAGCAGACAGCCTGCCGGGGTCGGCGCCCTTTCCTCTTCCTCATCTTGGTGCGCACAATAAATTTTACCGCAGAAGGCTTCACTCGCGTCTGCCTCTTATTGCGGGGCGATAAGACACGTGGGTGCGACATTGGGGCTTTTAATTGACCAGGATTTTGCTTTGTTGGCTTTGCCTTTGGACCGGGGAGGGTCTCCCTAAGAAGCCGCTGAACTTGACCAAACAATAATATGCTGGACTCTATGCTTGGTGTATGCTTGCAATGAAGGGATCTCAACTAAACTTGAACTTTGGTTACGCAATGGGCAGGGGGAGGAACCCACCACGGGGGGAGGGTTAGGGGAGGGGTGGGGGGAATCCCAGTGCCTATAGAACTGTGTCACATAATATAATGTAATTAAAATAATAATAATAATAATAAATTTATTTATTTTATTGGAAAGGCAGATGTACAGAGAGGAGGAGAGACAGGAAAAAAGATCTTCCGTCTACTAATTCACTCCCCAAGTGGCCACAATGGCCGGTGTTGTGCCGATCCAGAGCCAGAAGCCACGAACTTTTTCCAGGTCTTCCACGCAGGTACAGGGTCCCAAGGCTTTTGGCTGTCCTCCACTGCTTTCCCAGGTCACAAGCAGGGAGCTGGATGGGAAGTGGAGCTGCTGGGATTAGAACCGGTACCCATATCGTATCCCGGTGCATCCAAAGCGAGGACCTTAACCATTATGCTATCATGCCGGGCTAATTTTATTTTTAATATTGTTCATATAGTTGAGGGGGATGCATACTCATGTGGGTCTCTGATGAAGGTGAGGAGGGCCCAAGTATGGAGGAAGGTGGGTGGGACAAATGTTTCAATTTTTTCTTCTGTGTCCCCAAGAGGAGGGTGGGAAGGGAGCCACTTCCAAGTGTCAAACTACATCAGCACCTGGGGATGGGGGACGGTCGTCTGATGATTCCTTAGAGACCCCAGTGTGGGGAGAGTGTTCTGCAGGTGTTACTTGAGTGGTTTTGATAGTTATGAGCTATCTTTCTAAGGCTAACCAAGTCCACCTTAGTTCATCCACAGGCCCAGGAGCATGCTGCAAAGCTTGGCCAGTGTGGTCCAACCTGCTCTGTTCGCTGTCCTCTACCGAGGCACTGGATGTCCTGAGCCAGCTGTCATGTCCTCTGTGCATCTGGGCATGCCATCTGCTGCACAAGCAACTGAGGAGTCCAGTCTTGTGGCTAGGGTTTGAGTTTAGCCATCTAGTTCGGGTGTCCCCCAAGAAATCTTGCCTGAGGTAACCTCAGACTTGACTATTTTTTAATATTGATTTATTATTCTTGGCTCCCTTCCTATCCCCCCTTGGGAACACAGAGGAAAGAGAGTTACAGAAAGAAAGAGATAAAGAGAAAGACCTTCCATCTGCTGGTTCACTCCCCAAGTAGCCACAATGGCCAGAGCTGGGGCTATGCAAAGCCAGGAGCTAGGAGC